CTGTTGTCCGCAGCCATTACTCCTCCTCAGTCTGACTTATTTGATTTTAGGTCACAGCTCTTTCTCAGGTACATAGGTAATATAGTGTTTGAATCATTGCATATCCAAAAATATGTTTCTTGGACATGTTATGATAGTGAACATCTTGGCTAAAAATAGGTTTTTGGGTTGTGCCTTTTATTCTTGTAGATTTTACTTCAGGGATTTCAGGTTCCGGTGTTGTACATGAGAAATCTTAATGTCAGACTGATTCTTTCTCCTTTGTAGATAAATAATTCTTTTGATCTGGAAGTGAAAGATTTTCTCTCTGTCTTTATTTCTTTTTTGATTTAGAAACTGGGAACTTGAATAGTATTTGCCTGGATGTGTGGAGTGTCTCATCAGTCTAGCCTGGAACCCAGCAAACCTATTCAAGTCTCAAACACAGGTCTTTTTTAGATCCAGTTAAATTTTCTTCTGTTGCTTATCTAATCATTACCTTATCTCTGACTGCTCATATTTCTCTACTTGGATTTCTGGTTTTTGCATGTAGAGTTCCAAGACCTATCTTCCCAGTTTCCTCCTTCATAATTTCCATCTCTTTACATTTTCACTCTGTGCCTTGAGCTGCTGCTTGCTCCTCATTTCAGTCTCAGTAGTGACCTTCAGTCAATTACAGTGTTCCTTCAATTAATCCTCCTAATTGTTAGCTTTGGAAATCATGTGTTCTAACTCTGTAAAATCTTATTTTGTGTTGTCCTTTAATCTCTTAAGGGTTTTCACTACTTTTCTGTTCAAGTTGTTGCTTTTCTCTTCTGCCGCTGAATTTTAGTGCTTCTGGGTATTCCTGTTTATGGCAGCTTTGATGTGTGTCTGTTTTTCATTGTCAGCTTGTTGAAGCTCAGGTCTGGTGTTGGAGAGAAGCTTGTGTCCCTCAGGACATTTGTGTAGAAGCTGACTGGCCAACAGTCCACCATAGAAGCACCTGGCCACAGATTCTCTGCTCCTCAGAATTCTCATAGCCTCCCATGCTTAGGGCTCCACCTACCCTCTCTGCCACTTCTCGGCCTCCTGGGTGCCAGTGAGACCAAGCACACTCACTGCAGGCTGCTGCTAACCTCTTCACCCCTGTTCTCCTCCCAGTACCACCAGGAACCCACAGTTCCCCTGGGCTGAGCTGGGCCAAATTTCTGCCGCTCTGTATTTCTCTCACCAGGACACTCTACTGGAGGGCGTTAGTGTTTCGTTTTATCCATGAGAGAAAGAGCCCAGCATCTGGTTTCTCTCCAGAGTTAGCAGAGGACACACCCAAGTTGCAGCAGGCTGAGTTGTAACTGAGGGAGAAGCCAAGAGAGCTGCTTTTGGGTTAGATTTTCTAGATTGTCAGATCAGGTGTATTTTCTATTAAGAACACTTTCCAAATGAAGTAATTAATTTGAAGAAATTGTTAATGTAATACAAAGTATTATTTTAAATGATTTCCTTTTTACTGTAGTTCGCTAGCTATTACAGCTAAGCATTGATAATGCCTTTTTGCTGTGCTTACAGAAATAAAAGTTTAGTAAAGTATTCTCAGAGACAACCCGCAGTCCGTATATGGGGATTATTTCTTATACTGTAAAATAGCTATGCTAAGAGTGGTTTTTATTACCGAAAATACATAAAATAAAAATCATGAGTTTTTGTAGGAAAATTGTTAAGTGCTTTTAAAATGCTCTGAGGTAGTCATTTTTTACATTATTTTACTTTTTCCTTTACCCTCAAATAGGCAACTCATATTCTTCCTTATGTGTTTATAGGTTAGCATGGCCTTATTGAAAGAACTAGACCAAAGACTCTTTGAAAATTACATTGAGCTGAAAGCAGATCCCATCGTTGGCTCCTTAGAACCTGGTATTTATGCAGGCTACTTTGATTGGAAAGACTGCCTGCCTCCAACAGGTAAGTAAATAAAGTTACCAGAGCTCTCGAAAAGT